CTTATTAGTTATTTATTTATTCCAATAAAATACTAATAAGTGATTAGTTTGCAATAACGTATTGCAATTCTCATTTTAGAAAAATGAATAAGGCGCGCACCTATTGAAGCATTAGAATTTTAGGATGATTTAAGTTTAAGAAAGAAAACCAATGATTCTAAACCTAATACCGAAATAGAAACCTGCGTCTAAATTTGTTTTGAAAGAGGTAACGTGAACCACCCCTCGTCTAGACGATGTTAAAATATTTGCCTAAATAAATTCAACAAAGAGATAGAAACATACAAGTACCTAAATCCGTATTGAACAATCTTTTCTACTCAATTTTGAAATCAGACGTAAAAAAACGGTTTTGCAAAATTCAAAAGCAGTAAACATAATTAAATGGTCCTTTATAAACCATATTCCTGTTAGATTTATCATCTGAAAATGTTCTAATCAAACATATGTTTAAAAGTTTTCTTTATTAGAACTAGAACTACAAATTTGGTGTTTTTACAGCAATTATTTTATTAGTGAACAAGATTAGTAATTAATTGTAACACGTAAGCTCCTCGTCGGTCTAAATCAGTTAGGTAAACTACAAGAAGAAATGTTATTGTTCTTATTTTCGCCAGTGAAATATTTTCTTTTCTTTTGGAGTTGTTGATCACGTACCCAATCAACACACAGCAAATACAATAAATTACAAACGCATTCGATGTTAGCGTTTTTCCGATTTTCTGGTAAACCGAATCAACCCAACGAAAGTTTGCCCACTTATTTCTTGGACCGAAGCTTATCTGTTTTAGACGCAAAAATAATTAACTTGCTCAACTTAGACGAATGTAATCTACTTTGCACGATCAGGTTTTGTTTTTGCAAAAGGAGCCGTCCCAATTTTTATGCTTTTTCATCCTTTTTTTACAGTCTATTTTCTTACCTTTTCCATCTTATTATTATTTTTTCAACTAAGAGTGTTTTTAGACTAAGCGAACGAATATCACCTGAACAATAAGATTCTATTAAGCATCCAAATGTTTTCATCCATTTCTTCTCCTCTTAAATATAGTAGTTGGAAAATCAGAGCAGTTGTAAGGGTTGTAAAATTTCAATTATTAGGAAAACTCAATAAGTTTGGAATGAATGATTTAACTAAGAAAAGCTACGTTGAAAAATTCCCGTAAAAGTAGGGACAAAATGTCGGTAGAGTTTTCCTAATAAATTAAATTTTACAATTGTTAATATTGCCCTGATTTTCTAATTGTTAAGCTTCCAAAGTTTGATTCAACTGGAGAGAATCTTGAAAATAATGTAGTTGATGGCTTTATCTACCTTCAATACAATGGAAATATTGAAGTGTTGTTTAAACCCAAAAGTTTTTTATTTTAAACAAGAGGAGCAACTACTTAACCACTTCTATCTCTAAAGCATGGTTTTAAATTTAAAACTGATTGAAGTCCCATGAAAGTAAAACAAAAAAAAAACACAAACCGAATCATCTTTTTGCTTAGTCTAAATGTACTTTATTTTGGAGTTTTTCATTTGTCTGATCGGAGTATCGCATGAAATGGATGATAAGTGATTTTTAGAATAAATGTTTGCACAGTTATTTTTAACGATTTGCATTTTTAAAACAAAAAGATTACGTCTTTTAGATGGGCATGAAAATAAATTAATGATGTGTTAGTGTTATTCCAAAAAGTAAATAATAAATATGCTTATATTATGTAAGTACATTATTTAGCTCATAATTCTTCTATATTGTATGTGAGTTAAATATGCAATTCTGTGATGTTATCAGTATTTTACAGCGACTGTGGAATATCACTTGACCTCGTCATCTTATTAATTATGTTTTATTACCAAATGAGTTTTAAACCGTAATGCAGATGTTTGAAAAGTAACCATTTTAATGTAGTGTTTGGTGTTGTATAAGAACAAAAAAATTGACAGGCAGTAAGTATGTAATCAAGAGAGCATAGTTTTTATTAAGTCGACTTATTTTGTTTGTAATTCGATTTTTGTACGTTTCTAATGCTTTTCTTTTCATAAATTTTTTTTGAGATACGTTTTTTTATATTATGGTTGCAACATTTATTCTAAAGTAATTTTATGTTCTGCTGATTATTTATTTGTGATCGTTATTAAAATATATTTTGAAGAGAAGTAGTATTTATCTCATTGTTTATTGCTAGGCATTATTGGACTAAGATATAAATTTAAGTTTCTTTTTATTTAATTATTGAAAATGTCTTAAAACACACCCCCTACGTCGGTTCATAATACCAGACGATACAAGTGATAGTTTACATTTAGAAATAGTACCACCTTGAGTTATTGTTGTATTTATAAGTTATTATTTGAAGTGACATTCCTTGACGTAGAGATACTTTTTTTTGATATAATTAAGTTTTATTAGAGAAAGTTCGCCCATTGTCAATGTTGCCATTGTACCAAAAAAATCAACAAATACCGCTTTAGGGTGGTTACAAATATTTAGATAAAACCAATAAGAGATAATGAATTGATAGTTAGGTAAATGTTAAATATGTGACATGTTTGTTTAATCATTTTCAGGATCTTCTATAATGGTAGAATTGAATTCGACTACTTCTGGATATTTCGCTGTTGCAAATGACATTATTCTTTCATTATCTGGACTTGTTGCAATACTTATAGATGTAATTCTTATATACATTGTTCTCCATTTTCGGAGACTTAATAAAATCGTTTATTTATTCCTTGTACATCGGTCATTTGCAGAATTAATTCGTTTGATGGTAAATCCAGTCACATTTTCACTAATCTACCATAATATGCACATAGATTTATTCTACTTAACGTCAGAAATCGGTTCACTGGCTAGGACAGCCGTTGCACTTTTTGAAAATTTTATGGTTTTTGACTGGATGATGGAAAATTTTTTTCCGAATAAGTTGACACCATGGAGGAATAAATATAAGATTGTCGTGACCGTTGTATGGGCGCCTGTGCTATTCGGATTTTTATGGATTTTCGGACATTTCAACCATAATTCTTTAGTTTATTTATTTAAAATGTTTGCGGGATCGACGTCCTTAGTATGCATTTGCTTCACAGTCGTCCTTCAAATAATTAGATGTTTTATGGTTTATATTAAAAAAAAGACTTTCAGTGATAATCGTGGTTTGAATTTAGTGACTTTAAGTGTTACAATGCGTGTTGTTGCCTTGTTGATTATGTTTATTATTGACAAGTTTGCGATATTCCTCTTTTTTGAACATTTGCTAATGATAGCATTTATTTTGTATCTCAGTATATTCTGTGATGATTTTGCAAGTTATTTTAAGAAATTTTGCGTTTGTGACTTAAAAGACGATTCACTGGATGATTCTCAAATTTATCTGTGCCAAGGGTGTGGTGCTTATGTCGGATTTGAGGACTTGAGTTCGGAAACTATAGAAGAAAATTTTCCCTCAAGGAACACCGTTTGAATAGTGATATCTACACATTTTACTGCCACTTATTATCATTTTTATACATTTATGTATTTGCTTACTTTTCTGTGTAGTTCTTGTCAGCGTGTAGTTATCCATTCATTTAAATTTTCATTATCCTTTATGTATTATGCCACATTTACAATCAATGTCCTGATACTTTCATGAAATTATAGGTTTTTCTTTTCAGTATATTCTATTTAGAGGTGACCCCATTTTTTTCTCCTTTATTTTTTACGAAACTCTTCCTAAATTAATTTTGTGATTTTTTTTATTATGATGCTTGATAATTCAAAGGATTGGTATAGTAGAAGTAATTTTTCCTTGTTCCGTACAGAGATAAAGAACGCTGGTAAGAGCTATATAATATTTTGATTTATATATTTTAGGAAATAATTGGTTTTCATGAATGCATATTAAATTAAAAAGTTTTAAGCACACATTTGTATGTAACTAGCCAATGTTTGGCTTATTTTGTTTGCAATAAATTGCAATCAAGTCATTTTAAACTATAGTTGTAAACCATTTTCACAGTAATAAATATAATGTGAATTGCTTTCTCGATTCAATAATATGATTTACTTTACTTTATCATCATACAAAGCAAATTTCAGATTTAATTTCATTTTCTACATTTGTTTTATTATTGGTAATGAAATGGTTCCAATGTTTTTGCTAATTCTACAAAATCAATAAAACGTAGCTTTGTATAAATTGTAATTTAAATACAATATAAAATTTACACATGGTTGCCATTATTGTACATCTAAACTTTGATGTAATACTTTCATTTCTGCGAATTTATAAATTAATGTTTTTTATTACTCTTGGAAATATATTAACAATTTTCCAATACTATTTATGGTGCATGACCAATAGAAAAATTGTTATTCTTTATTGATAGAAACAGAAAAGTAAATATTTCGTATTCTTACAATTACTTTCTGCAATGTCGCACACAAATAATTTTTGTTTTCCGTGTTCCTTGTTAAATAAATTAAGACAATAAGCGACTTCATGAAGTGTTTGTTTCATAATACTTAAGCTTTCAAATAAAAATCATTTAAATTAATGAAATGAAATGAAAAATTTAGAAATTGTAAATAAAATTTGTATCCCATTCGAAATTAAGGATAGTGTTTTAAAAAAGATTTGACGTTTTTATTTTTGGAAGTCCGTAACATTTCAGAGATAATATGAACATTTTTTTGTTGTTAATAATTAAAAATGTCTTCGAATAGTGCTATTTCTGAATTAAGAAAAGTAATAATTCACTTGCATTTGAAAAATTCCTTCGAGGTTTTCTTTTTTTTTTATTAGTTATTATGAAATTGTATTATTTTTCATAATAATTCCTTTTAACATGATATGATATGATCATATGATATATTTTTGTTTTTTGGGTTAACTTCAGTGAGGCAGGGCTTGTGTATATATATGTTTGGTTTTAAGCTAAAATATAAAGGATTCAGGCTCCTAAATCCCAGGTTTCGAACTCCATATCCTGGTTGAACGAATCTACAGACAGCAGCGCTTACCTGTACAAATAACTCGGCGGATAACCATTTTTATTAATTTTAGAAGTATGCTTCTGTGTACGACTTCAAGACTTACGTATATAATTGCTTTCGGTTTTCATTATTTTACTTTATTAATTAAAAGTTATGCTGTTGGCTGAAACGCTACGTTATTAATACATGTCCTTTTCGAGTACGTGTTGTGGAAATTGAATTTTAAATAGAAAGGTTGCTAACATAAGGACCGCAAGCGCATATAATACCAACCCGGATTATGTAGCCAAGTGACTAATAATTAATACGAATTTCCATTGCTTGGTTCAAAGGGACTCCACTAAAAGCTTAAACGTGGTCAATTTAATGAAAAAATCTTATTATCCAACAATAAAGGAAAGTAGAACGTCTATTAATTATTCAAGTAATTTTCGTTAGAAGCATGTGCATTGACGGATATTTTTTTTTTTGTTCTAAGTCTAAGTGAATCTGGAACAGGTATTTTCGAATTTCAGTTTTAGAAAAATTGTCGTCAAATAACGACAGGTAAGTAAAGTAAAAGTGTTTTTTTTTTTTTGGTAAAGTGGATAAACTGTTATATGTAATAGCCACAAAATCAGTGGCGGACTAACAATGGGGCGGAAGGGGGGTCCCGCCCTGGGCCTCCGGTCTTGGGGGGCCCCGAAATGCCTGCGCGTTAAACAAGACTTTAAAAATATGCTTAGTACCTTCATAATTTCAATCAAAAAAATCAGAAAACACTACAGCCATCTAGATCTTTTACGCGGTACTAATATTCTTTTAACTTTGCTGAACGTGTCCAATACGCAGGGGGAATTGCCGTCTTTGTAGCGGGTACTTTTCCTAGGAATCATTGAATTAATGAAGTGCAAATAATTCACTCTTATACGCCTACATTTACATTCATACATCCTATTTACGTCGAAAAATAATCATTGCCCTTATTTAAAATATATTAAATTTCATTACGTTGATATTCAATAATTTATCAGTGTGTTCCGATATTTTCGCGAATGGATAAGCCTTTTTTCAAATTGTAAAGTAATAAACGCGATATTATCCGTTAAAAGTAATTTCTAGTGTCCGACCGAAACTGGTTTTTACGACCGAAACCGAAACCGAATTTCGGCAACCGTCTCAGTTTCGGCCGAAACCGAAACCGAAACTTCCTTATAAGGATCATGTTTTGAGAAAAAAATAAAGAAAACGTTATTATAATCAGTCAGTTTTATTTTTTTACCTTTAAATCACATAGCTACGTGATCTTTGACATTTTCACTTATTGATAATCAAATCAAAATCATCATAACAACCCCTCATTTAAGGAAATACTTTAATTGCGCCTTAAAAATACTTAAAATAGGTGAGATGTTTATTTGAGTAAGTATAGTAGACTGCTTTTTTTTATATAATATTAAACATAAAATTACTTTTGTTATTGTTACCTAATATCACAATACGTATAGGAACTTAATATTTAAGTAATAAACAAAACAAAATAAATCACTTTTATCTTAATTAAGAACAAATTAACTTCTTCTAAATTTAATTCGTCATGTCGAACGCGCCGAACATGACCGAGCAGAGCGCCAGAACTCCCGAACGCAGTTTCGGTTTCGGTTGTAGTTTCGGCAGGTTTGCCGCCGAAACCGAAACTAAACCGAAACTCGTTTTTTTGCCGAAACTCGACCGAAACTGAAACCGAACTTTCGGTCGGACACTAGTAATTTCATTAAAAAGTGTGATAGTGTTTTTGATTTTTGTTGCGTCAAGAGCGATTGGTTAATCTAGCTGAGAAAAATTTCAAAAGAAACCGATTTCACAGAAGTTATTGAGGACTTCAGTAAATTGAAGGCACGAAAACACATATAACACGCTACAAAAAATAAAAAACTATCTTTGATTTATTTTATCTAATTTTTTTTGTCGATCGATTCGTAGTTTATTTTCCTCTCCCATATCCATTCCATATGGGTAATTTAAGTCGAATTTAAATTTCACTTGCCCGATTTTAACGAAATAAACATAAACACTTATTTATACATACAAACGTGAACTGAATAAAAATCTTGTAAACCCATATTTTTTTTAAACTGGGAGGGCCTCATTCAGCTATGCCGCCCCGGGCCTCTGACGGGCATAGTGCGCCACTGCACAAAATACAAAAAAGATATCATGTTGTTCACAGGAAGGTGCGCAATTTTCGTCTAGACATCCAAAATAAACCTATTATACATATAACTAAACAGATAAACAAGACAGTAAATATTTTTCAACCTTTTTTGGACGTTGAAATGTTAAGAGAAACTTTTTGTATTGGTTTACATTTAATTTGAAGACAGTGAAGATAAAATCGGATTGATGCTATATTATTTCGATTCACAAGAAAGGATTTTATTCCTTTCTAAATTGAAGTTCAGGAATAAACCGTTCACAAGATGTAGATATTGGTCCGCTTGTGGGAGTTGGTAATATTTAAGAGGATTTAAAGTTATATTACACCATCACTGGTTTGTCCTGGAATCTTTAATTTTCCTTGAATATTATGTGTTCATCTTCAATTTTTACGACAACTTGGAGAAAGTATTATATCATTGCTTTATGCAGTTGAATTTTAAGAACTTATTTAGTTTTTTTTAAATGCCTTGTAAGTTATAACGTTTCACACAAAATTTATTGCTTTCGAAAGTAATATTTATGATACAAAAATAAACATTGAAACATTATGATAACATAAAATTTGGCTGAGTTATCAGAAATTAAAACAAAATCATCAGATCTACATGCCTCTTTATTGAGAAAAAATTTAAAAGCGAATGGAATGTAGTCAAAATTGTGCCGAAAAGGTAAATAGTCCGAGAAAACTTTTTTCCGTACATATAACGAATTAAAACGAATCACTTTAGTATCCCATTTACTCCGTCTTCAGTCGCAGGTTAGAGTTAATTCAACATTACTAATTTGGAATATAAGCAATTATTACGTTTTTATATTATATATCAATCGCTTTTGCCTATTACTAACTTTTCTCTCCCAGTTACAATGCACTGCCGATTAAGTAATGCTAAACATCTATTAGATATATATATTGCCAAATTATTTCAAAAAAATGTGGATAAAAATGTATATTGTTAGATTTTTATAACAGAGCGACCGTTCCTGGGCTAAATTAGATTGTTGCTTGCAACAATATATGGTGAAGTAACTACGTAATAGGAGTGTCGTCAAATTTCAAAGCTCGAACTTTAACTTTATAAGGTGTGGTGATATGACCGGTAAAAGATTTTACGACTGCGTTGTGAGAACGAACGTTTCAACTTAAATTTTTTTGTTACTTTGTGATACTTTTACAAAAGACGTTCACTGTCAGAACTATTTCAAGTAGTACGAATTAATTACTTGCATACGTAAGAACTCAAAAAGTATGAACATCTTCAAACGTTTCAACTATTACACATACAAAGAAAGTTTATGGTAACTATATTGTTTAAAACTGGCACACGATATAATTAAAATGAGTTGTATGTAAGTATGCATATAACAGGTCAATTGAAAAGTCCCCGGCCTAAAATAGTAAAACACATTTTTTTTGCAAAATTCGTTTCTTTTATTCAACATAATTCCCTTCAAGGGTGATACACTGATTATAGCGATCCTCCAACTTTTCGATACCATTTTTGTAGTACGATTTGTCCTTTGCTTCAAAATAGGCCTCAGTTTCGGCGATCACCTCTTCATTCGACGAAAATTTTTTCCCAACGAGCATTCTTTTGAGATCTGAGAACAGGAAGTAGTCGCTGGGGGCCAGATCTGGAGAATACGGTGGATGCGGAAGCAATTCGAAGCCCAATTCATGAATTTTTGCCATCGTTTTCACTGACTTGTGAGACGGTGCATTGTCTTGGTGAAGCAGGACTTTCTTTTTCTGCAAATGCGGTCGTTTCTCGGCGATTTCGTCCTTCAAACGGTCCAATAACGCTATGTAATAGTCGCTGTTGATGGTCCTTCCTTTTTCAAGGTAGTCAATGAAAATTATTCCACGCGCATCCCAAAATACAGACGCCATAACCTTGCCAGCCGACTGTTGCGTTTTTGCACGCTTTGGAGCGGGTTCATCGTGTGCAGTCCACTCCGATGACTGTCGATTGGACTTCGGAGTGAAATGATGGAGCCATGTTTCATCCATTGTCACATATCGACGCAAAAACTC